TCATTATATAGGTATATTGAGGGCAGAGCCATCCTATTATCTGTCCTCAATATACCCTTTACCCTGTTTGCATTTGCTCAGGTATACTTGAGGACATATTTTCAAGCAATTTTATATATATATATAACTCACACACTGAGCAATATATTCGGCATAAAGTTAGTTAGAATAAAATTATTATATGTAATATATAGGAGTTGGGGAAATTCGAAAACTTAATTCGTATATTTTTGTCACACTAAGCAACATATTCGGCATAAGGTTAGTTAGGTTAGAATTATTATATGTAGTATATGAGAGTCTGAGTAATTCGAAAACTAAACTCACATATTTTCGACATGAAACTATAGTATATCCAAAATTTTACGTTCAGTTAAGATCTATCTACATATTGACCGATGTATACGGTATGAAGCCAACCGAAAGTTTGAAAACCTTGTTTTGGCATTACTTAATATTATTAATAGAAAAAGATGCTAAATGTACCACACACCATCACCAATATAGTATTTGGGAAGGTCAGCCAGATGTATGAAATTCCTGATAATGTTTGCTCGGGCATCACCTGATTTAATCCAGTGTAGGCAGAAAGATACACTGTTATTAGAAAAGCACGCCCTTTCAGATTTAATAAGATAACTCACATATCGGCGGATATATGCGGTATAAAGTCAGCGAAAAAAAATCTTCATTTTTAGTATATGGAGGAAAGTATTGACCTGATTCAAAACATTTTCTTGAAAAGGGAAAGAATCAGATGGAATTCAAAGTTTTATTATATGTGAAGACGGAGTAGTTATAGTCTGATTTGAAGCTCCGTGATAGAAATGTTAGGATAATGTTATCTAGCGAGATATGTGGTTTTACCTAAATGTGGCGGTCCAATTTTGACACCGGTTCCTATTAAGCCTTCCTGGGTGTGAATTCGAATGTCTGACGGTTTTAGTTATTGGTTGATCACAGTTTTAACAATTTTTAATATAACTGATTTTACATATTTTCACACTGTCGTAAGAGTTATCGAAATGATGTATCCTGTGTAAATTAAGGTGTTATAGCTGGAATGGTTTGGGAGATATATACATTAAACCTATTAGGTGAACTTTTTCAAAGTTTTTATAACCACAGATGCCCCTTCTTAATGTGATTCGTTGTTTGCTCTAATTTGCGGCTTAATAATGTAAATTTATGTCTTTTTGATTAATGTCATTTTGTGCCTCCTATAGTGCCAAGGAACTTTAAAACGAAAAAACGTTTACTTCGGCTGCACGGAAACTTTAACACCCTTCACAGTTGCTATAGCCGTCCGATATTGGCGGTTCCGACAAATGAGCAGCTTTTTTGGGGAGAAAAGGTCGTGTGAAAATTTTCAGACCGATATCTTAAAAACTGATGGACTAGTTCGCGTACAACATATACAGACGGACATGCCTAAGCCGATTCAACTCGTCTCGCTGATCATTTATATATATACTTAATAGGGTCCCCGACGTTATCTTCTGGGTGATACAAAGATCGTGGCAAACATAATATTATATAAATACGCTTAAAGGACATTGTGACTCTTCACTATATTAATATTCATAGCAGAACGTGTACCAGGTGTACCAGACACCCAATTTGCGACTTCTGCGTAGGAATCGAAGTGCTGCTCAGTCAATGTGTTTCCCGTCGATGAAAACAAATGGTAATTGAAAGGTATCAAGTACTTTGATTGTATCCCGAACTGATTTTGCTTTGTGTGCAGGTGCATTGCCGTGCAACAAATTACTTTGACGTGTCTTCTGACCCATTGTGGTCGTTTTTCGATCAATGCGTGGTTCCAATTGATCATTTGTTGTCTGTAGCGAAGTATTAACAGTTTCACCAGGTGCCTTCTTACCGAATCGATCTGTTTTACAGTCGATGTTGATCGTTCTCCCGGATTAACCCATAATTTTCTCCGCTTAGGATTCTTAAAACAAATCCATTTTTCATCGCCAATGACAATTTGATGCAAAACTCATTTTCTTAAGTGTATTTGAAGCAAAATTTCACAGGTGTTTTTCCGGTTTTCCATTTGTCTCTCATTCAATTCATGTGGCACCCATTTTCAACACTTTGAATCTTTCCCATAGCTTTCAAACGATCTGAAATTGTTTGTTGTTTAACATGGCTGCCATTTACTTTTGACTCAAAGTATCATTTTCATCCACTATTGCATGCAGTTCGGTCAAACTTTTATGGTGGTCTTCCATGTTCTTCATTTCTCACATCAAAATCAATATCTCTAAACCGTTGAAACCATCTTTTGCATGTTGCTTCTGATAGAACATGATCACCATATGCCTCCTAGCAATATTCATTGCAACATTGTTAAAGTTCAATAACATGAATATATTTTATTAAAATAAACATCCGTTCCAACTGACGAAATTGATCGATATCTATAAAGCATAAACTGGTAATTTTGCTGACTATACAGTATAGATAAACATCCACTTCACTCTCAGAATTGACCGATAAACAATTCAAAGTATAAACTACCAAATCTGTTAAATCTATCGCCAATAATTCCGACGCCCTTACCGTTGACACTCAGCTAGCTTAGGGTAATATTAAGAATATTTGAAATAATATTACTTATTTCTTCATTACACGTATCTACATATTTATTGTTGTCAATTTTTATACTCTTGCAACATTTTGCTACGCCTATTTTCCATATAACTTCATTCTAAATTCGATCTGATTATTTCACTTTACAGTATACAGGTTGGTTCAAAAGTTTCTGCGCTCGAATGAAATGGTACGAAATATATTTTTTATTCCATATATTTCAATGATGCCCCAATAATTTCATGCCACCACTATAATGACATTCCAGAAGCTCTACAAAATACCCATCTACGACTGTAATAGCTTATTCATTCGACGAAAAGCGCTTTCCACGAAGAAATTGTTTCAGGTTGCTGAACACACCACTCTACCCTTCGCGCACCCAACTAATACACCCCACACCTGAGAACACCACCGCACTCAGCAAGATGTCAGCACACGACGACACCACATACCGCCAAGCAATTTAAAGGATGGTCCCCACATCAGAGGATCAAATTTCGTTTTTACACTGCGCCGCGTCAACGGACGCGATCCAGCGCTTTACCTCCATTCGCTTGCACAATTCGACAGCTAATTCGATTCACAACGCTCCGCCCGTCGACATAGTTATTTGCTACCTTTTATTTTATAACAAATTATTATAAAGCAATGTTCTTATATTACGGAATAGATCAAAACTTATTATATATCGAGATACGGATTATTTATTTAAAATAAAGAGACTTTAAATATAAGTCAGTGGTGTGTGATCCTCAATAAATAGTGTATCTATATAAACATGGTCCTTCGAGCCTTACCGAAAGGCACCTTCGGATTTTAAAAAACAAGACAAAGTTTATATTATATATAAAGTGCGGTAACAAGTGCAGTGACACCAAAAACAAAATAAATATAGTTTAAAAAAACTAAAGACACACGCTTTTAAAGAATATCGAACGAAAAAATTGAAAATAATTTTAAAAATTAACTTAAAAAAATAGTATATAAAAATACTAGTATAATTGAGGAAAAGGCTTAGGGCGCTTTTTGCCATAATTTTCGTATATCGAACGCCCGCTTTTCTCAATTACTAGTATTTTTATATACTATTTTTAGTTTATTTTAAAATTATTTTCAACTTTTCGTTCGATATTCTTTAAAAGCGTGTGTCTTTAGTTTTTTAAACTATATTTATTTTCAACTTTTAGTTCAATATTCTTTAAAAGCGTTTTTACTCTTTAAGTTTTAGTTCGATATAACTATATTTATTGTATATTAAGTGATAGTTGTTCGATAGCATCGCAACACTTATTTTCTTTCAATAAATATTGAAAACAATGTATTTTGCATTACAATTTTTATTTCATGTTATGATTCTCTCAACCAATTTTTTAACTATTTAATAGCTTTCATCGCGGGCTAACCAAACTAAACCCAACACGACTACAAAGTATGCGCAAAATATTTGCATACTTTTAGGCATATGTTGGCATCTCAAAGTGAACAAATCAACTGAACGGACAGAACGGCAGACCAAAATATGGAATTTAATCATTTTTGTTGTCCGTTCAGTTGATTTGTTCCCTTTGACATGCAAATATGCTAAAAAGTATGCAAATATTTTGCGCATACTTTGTAGTCGTGTTGGGTTTAGTTTGATTACAAACAGACAGACACACATAGAAATGAAGCTAATAAAAGAGTGTTAAAAAGTATGCAAACATTTTGCGCATACTTTGTAATCGTGTTGAGTTTAGTTTTTTAGTTACAAACAGACATACAAGTGAAACTAATATAAGCGTGTTAAAAAGATATTTCTACATTTATTAAAGCACATTTAACAACATATACAACAATATACTAAATTATATTATATATATATACATAAAGATATATAAAGAAAAAGTGCGCGTTAAAACAAAAAACAGGGGTTAATAAACTAATACAACATAAATCGGGCGCGAAAACTATAATACCTAACTACAAAACATAAATAGAACAAATAACCGTGCGCGGATTTAAAGACATATATACATACAAAAAAACAATAAACACGCACAAGGAGCTAGCCAGCTGAAAACCGAAGAGGATAGACACTGAGACAAAACGCACAAGGCATAAAGGTACATGCGCACATACAAACCCTACCCATGCAAAACCAAAGTTATTTTATGTATGTAAATATATATGTTTGAATAAGATTTTATATAACATAAAATCTGTAACAGTAAATCCGTTTTTACTAATATAATACTAAAAATCGAAATACCACTGACATTAAAAACAGTTTGGTACAATAAATATATTTAAATATATATGTATGTAAATAATTATTGTATGCCTATAAGCTTATCTTTGCGTTTTCAAACACATATTTCACAAACACAAAAAACAAAAACATAATTAAAGTAGTTACTTGCAATATTTTCGGCAATAACCCTTATGTTTAACAAAAGCCATAAGCAGGATTGCATATAATGAGTAAGCAAAGACAAAATAGCAAACCTAGAAAAAGACAAAGAAATAAATAAAAACAAAATAAACATACATACATGCATATCGAATTTACACTTACATATCGCATCTATATATATAGTTAAATATATATTTTTAATAAACAAAAATATATTTACTAAGTGCATACTGGAAAATACCTGCACATTATTCACTTCGCTTTCGCGCTCTCTTTGCAATGCGAACACATATTTTCCATATGCATACATACGGCATACAATCTGCCTATGCTTATATACCCTATATACATTGGGTCAATTCGGTATAGAAATTTCCCAAAATTGTTGAAAAAATTACATATTCTAAAATAAATAGACGGTCCAGTAAACAACTAAATTATTAAAAAATAATAAATAATTTATTAGAAAACAAACATACAAAAAGCCCGTGGTTAAACAAAAATTATGAAAAATGCCTAATTATGAATATGCTTATATACCCTATACACATTGGGTCAATTCAATCAATAGACGGTCCAGTGATAAAAAATATTACTTAAAAATAATAAATAGTTTATTAAAAAATAATAAATAATTTATTAAAAAACAAACATACAAATAGCCCGTGGTTAAGCAAAATTATGAATTTAAACAGTATAAACATATACAATTGTAGTTGTACATCTTTTCAAAGTCCACATTGGCATATATCCCTTGTAACAAACAAGCAGGATTACGTACAAAAAATTAAAGTGCATTGATCTCTTCAACGAGCTCTTAATTGCACAAGCACATAAATATATACATACAAGTCCGTGTATTAGGGTTTTTCCTTAATACCTCAACATAAGGACATAAAAAGTATTGTAAAATTTAAAGTGCGGTTCTTAATAATTAAATTAACAAAATATAATTTACCATCAAGATAAATAATAAAAATATATACAAGTACATACAAAACGGTATTATTAACACTAAATACTCGTTTTTAAAATATAATCCGAAATATCAAACTCTTATTCGCCTAAAAGAGTATTAGGCAAAAATTATCATTTATCGCTTCATATACATAAATTAGTTTACACTGAGGAAGATTTAATTCGTTTTGACGGATAAAAACACCTGTAGAAGCTACACGTGCAAGACAGGTTGCTATAAAGCAAATAAAAGGCAAAGATATTTCTGCACATTTCTGAGAGTGCCAGATTAATACGATACTGCACTCGATTTTTATCTTCACCGATTCAAGAGAACTATGAATCGTTATTAGAAATAAAAAAAAACAAAATCTTGACAATTTTTGGACTCGTCTCCAAGCGGCTCATAACGCCATAGTAGATTCTGACGATTCAGATCTACCACACAAATGTAAATCATCACTGGTTAGACCAGTACGAAGAAACAAAAGCTATGATTTCTGATCAATTAAAGCTAATAAATGCAATTACACCTACTCCATATCCGAAATAGTGCTGCCACAAATACAAAATCAAGAGACAAGTTCAGGCATTCACCTCGAGATGTCCGCATGTGACACAGAAACATTTTATGGAGGTTATGAAGAACGGCCGTCCTTCGAGCATATGTTTACAGCCGTTTACATCAACCATCCCAAATAATCAAAAGCCCAAAAATTGTATTACCTCCGATAAAATACAAAACGTCAAGCAGGCGCAATGTTAAACAGTTCGTACTTAATGACGACAATTTCCATTTGGCTTGTGAAGCTCTAAAATCTAGATATGAAAACGAAAGAATATTGGATTAAACAAGTAAAGACACTAATAAACTTGCCTAAAATTCAAAACAAAAAAAGTGAAGAATTTGTTAAACTACTATGCACTGTTTCAAATTGTTTGTCAGTTCTATCGACACAAAATATTCCTAGATAGCTGGGCTCCAATACTGGTAAATATATGCACCGCCGCTTTACCAGAAAAATCGGTACTTTCGTGGGAGCAATCGCTCTCATCTCGAAAAAAAATGCCCAACGTGGCAAGAAATGAAAGATTTTCTAACTACCCAGTATGAAATCTCTGAAAGGGTAGACACAAAAATTATTAAAACCAAAAACGATCAAACCAACCTTAATAGAAGCTTCAATAGACCCCAAGCTAGAAGCAACAACAATATAAACAGAAGCTCTTACAAAACGCAATCGTTCACATCGGAACAGAAAAAACATACGTTATGCGAACTTTTCACCCCAAAGAAGCGCTTATACAAAAAGAAAAACAGGTTTAGTGTTAACAACAACTCCCAAAAACCAAAGTCCCAAAAAGCACCATGCTGCTCAAAGTCATTAAAAACCCAAACACTACACAGCGAAAATCAAAGTAGAGTACTACTACCCACAGCAGTAGTCTCCATCGAACACCGAGGAGAACTGTTTAGGTTTGGGGCCTTAATAGACCAAGGATCATAACGATCTTTTATAGCGTCTAGGGCACAAAATGGGCTAAAACAGCCAGCAAAACAATCAAAATTACGGGAATGGGCGGAAGAATAGTCCAAAAATTGCCCCCAAGCGGATAAACGAATTGTAGCAGAAGCTATAGTCCTACCGCAACTTACTAACATGCTTCCAAGCTATCACATAAATAGCAAGCATTGGAAAAAGGTTTCACACCTAAAGCTAGCAGATCCTAACTGCAACACGCCAGCTCAAATAGATATTCTAATAGGTAGCGAAAAAATGGTCACAATTCTCAAACAACCTAAACGATATCAGAACCTCCCGATTCTCGGCCACAATTGCCCGATTCCATACATAATATCATCCGCAATATAATTGTCCTAGAAAGTCGAAAAATCGACACCTCTCTTACTATAGTCGGGATCACCATACTTCCAATGTGGTACAGTGACGCACCCAGACTTACAAAAAGCAAAAGTCGCACTTATCACATCTATCTAAGCGCTAATCATATGTGTAGTTTATGGGAAATACTTGTTGCAAATCACACTTCAATAAAGTGAGCGAAAATCACAAATCTCACTCTTGCAAGATCCCTCTTCAAAGGAGCACCCATTCTGGGCGACCATATCTGAGCCAGGCGTGGAGTCGCTAACCGTAATAAGCCGATGGTAAAGAAATTTTAAACAAGCAATACAAAATATAAAATTATGAAAGAAACAGCCGCAAATATAATAAGCACGAAAAGCAACTAAAACCTCACAAACCCGCAAAATGAAGTTGCTACCTTAAAGCACTTACATGCACATCAAAATGCATACCAAATATGTTTTTAAAATCAAAGCCAAGTTATACACATATGTCAATATGTATATAGCATTACTCCATCATAATGTGACCTTCCCCGCGCCCTCGGCTACTTCGGAAGCAGCATGCCGAAATACATACATATACCATTTTAGTAAATATGCGTAAAACTAGGCAACATATTTTCTTAGGGGCCCCAGGATGGTTAAATGAGTTAAGCCTCCCTCACACACCACACTCAGCAAGATGTCACCACACGACGACACCAAATACCGCCAAGTAACAAAAGGGATGGTGCCCATATCAGAGGATCAACTTTAGTTTGTACACTGCGCCGCGTCAACACAACATTCAATACGAACGCGATCCAGCGCTTTACCCCATTCGCTTGCACAATTCGACAGCTAATTCAATTCACAACGCTCCGCCCGCCAACATAGTTACTTTCTACCTTTTATTTTAACGAAATTATAACGAATTATTATGTTGTTGTTGTAACGGTTAACTAGTCCCCGTTTGGGTGATAAGTTCCAGTTTGGTTGTCGTCGAGGTCATCTAATGGAAACGAGCTGTTTCGAAGGGGTCGAACCATAGGGAATTGGGCATGCAAAGAAGTGGTTAGTGTCATGCGGAGACTCATTGCACGCAGGACATGTATTTGGAATGTCGGGGTCTATTCTGGATAAGTAGGAGCCGAGGAGAGTCGAGTTCTACATCTGCTGAGAGGGAGTCGGTGCAGGTGTTGACGGCTCCATTGTGAATGGCGGTCAGTGCCTGTCTGAAGTTTGTTGCGTCCGAAGTCCGGTCGGCGTACTGTCTAATGGCGTCGACGTAATCAAGGAAAGACCTCTTGATGTTCCTAGGAGGCGGTTCCGCTGCAAGCAGACGACTGCAGGGGCGGTTTCTATGAAAACAACCCAGCAGAAACTGCTGGGAGAGGAGCTCGTTATGTTCCTTAACCGGAAGCATACGGGCCTCTTTGTGTAGGTGTTCGATCGGGGACATCAAGAGGCATCCCGTGATGGTCCGGAGTGCAGTGTTCTGACAGGTCTGTAGCTTCTTCGTCTGCGTAGCACTACATCAAGGCGACCATATTGGGGCTGCATAGTTTAAGACCGGCCGGCCGATTGCCTTGTATGTCGCCAGCAACGTTTCTTTGTCTTTTCCCCAATACTTTGGCAGTTATCGCAGTCGTGTGAAGAGTGAGGGAGCAAAGACTGTCTAATGTAAAGCCTAAAATTTTAGGGTTGTTTACTGTCAGAATTTTGGTGACATCGAGTGAGATGTCTAGATCCAGTCTGTACTCCTTCGTCCAGTTCGTAATAATGGTCGCTGTGGATTTAGTGGGGGGAGAGTGTTAGGTTCCTTGCAGAAAAGAAGCGAGAAAGATCGGAGAGGTAGCCGTTTACTTTTGAACACATGCCATCGATTCCATTGCCCGACGTCAGTATCGTGCAGTCATCAGCATACGAGGTCACGGAAATTCCATCTGGTGGTTGGAGGAGTTTCGAGATGAAGAAATTAAACAGTAGTAGGGAGAGGACACCGCCCTGCGGAACCCCCTGTTTAATTCTTCAAAGTTTGGAGTTTTGACCTCGAAACAGTACGGATGAATGCCGACCGCTCAGGTAGTTTATAGTCCACCATATGTGGTTGACTTTGTCAAAGGCTTTCGACAAGTCCAACGCTACGAGGATCGTCCTCTCGCAGGGTGGCTTCTGGTTTAGGCCATGAGCTATGTGGGCGTTTATGATGCAAAGTGCTGTGGTGGTGCTGTGCACTTTTCGGAAGCCATGCTTATGTTCTGCTAGACTCAGGTGGGGAGTGAA